CTACACTAATAAATAACTTCCTCTCGATGCACGGTTCTCTACCAGCCCAGCCCATTGTCGGTGTATGCAGGCAGGCCTAAAACAAAAACGAGAACATAACGTTTTTTGTGTGTCTGAGGGGTCGCGAAGGACGTTACATTATATTTTGGTTTATTATTTTTGTTGTTGAATTTTTTATATGTAGAATAAAAGTGTGAAATATTATAAAAAGATGAGACTCGCAAATGGACAAGCAGGTATATTCGTCAGTGTTCACTTGTAAGAAAGGACCTTTGTTAGGTAGGGTCCCCCCCTCCTTTCGACCTTTTTAACGGTTTTCACAGAGGGACTCTCACACGTTTAAACGGTCTGACCAGTTTCGTGGTAGCATTTGTAAAGAGAGCGTGGTACGGAACATCAATAAAAATGGAGACAACATTTATTACCGATGAAACTGTTGAATATGTGCAACTTCTTGCAAAGTGCGATATTTCAAAGGAAGACTTGACGGATGCGGTTGAATATTTTCGTGGTAAATATATTAATGAAGAATTAATTATCTGCTTTCATAACGTCACGGTATATTTCAAATTATAATGTAAAATATTTGTTTGTAGATATTGCTGTACGCTTTAATTTAATATTTGTTGACGCCCCACGCAAATTTTCGAACAATGCTAAATTAGTTGGCGGCAAACTTTTTGAAAAATTTATTAAACTATTAGGAGAGCATGAAATTTTGGACGACATTGAATATTATACAGAAGAAGAACAAAACGTGGTTGTATGCGAAAATATGCCGAGTACAAGTAAGAATACACCCGATGAATTGGAAGATTATGAACCTCCAGAAAAAATTTCTACGCATAAAGTAGTGCCATACGATACAAAATTAAAGGTCGTACTGACAGCACAAGAACATCCACAGTGGTCTTTCAAAACATTAAAGCATCATTTTAGAAAATATTTAAACCATCCTTCTGATGTTACGAAATATAAAAAAGCTGTTTTGTCAGGCGGTACTTTTAGAGACAAATTAAATACAATAAAAACTAATGTGTACGATCGCTTCACAGAAGCAAGAAATAAGAATCAATTAGTTACGCGACGTTTGCTTCAACAGTGGGCTATTGCTGCAGCCGCACAATATAACAAGCCAAAAGAAGAACAAGACAGCGAAGAACATACAAATGTTTTTCATTTCGTAGCATCCAGCACGTGGTTGACCAACTTTTTACACGATTATAGGATATCGAATCGTCGCGTTGTTCGATATGTTTCCAAAAAAGAAGCAATTACACCAGAAGTTGTCATAAAATCAGCGGAACAATTTCAAACATTAATTCAAGCAATTTCGCCAGATTACGATCCCGATTTTGTAATTAATACAGACCAAACAGGATGTGAGTATAGAGTTAATGTTTCGCGAACTTACACGCACACTGGAGAAAAATTAGTTCAATTGTACATAGGCGATTTAAATAAAGTTTCGCATTTATACACCGCCCAGTATTCACTGACGAAATCCGGGAAGTTATTAAATAAAGTATTTGTTTGTTTGCAAGAATTTTCTGATAATTTTGGAGTACGCGTACAAAAAGATGTAGATAAATTATTAGAATTATGTAAAAATGTCGTTATTACATGTTCTAAATCGGGCAAATTAACAACATCATTATACGCACAGTATTTGGAAAATGTTGTTAAGCCGTATGTCGGGGATAATTTGTTTTTATTTATTGTTGATTCCTGGGGAGGACAAAAAAACATCCAAATGTATAACGAAATATTTCGCGACAAAAATAATAAACCAACATGTAATTTACAAATTATACCGCCAAAATGTACTCCGATATGTCAGCCGTGCGACGTTTATTTTTATCGACAAGTGAAAGTTATAATTAAGAAAATACAAAACTGTCCAGATGTAATTTCACAATCAGGTGACGAAAGCAAACAATTAAATACTCGTGCTGATGCGATTCGTATACAATTTTTGACTCATTATCTGTTATCAGCGCCGAAATTTAAATGTATGCTTCAATATGCATGGTATGCATCCAAATTAGCTGACGATAGAGAAATATTTTTAAATGTGAATCAATTATGCTTCTCTTCAAACATTTATAATAAAACATGTGTATGTGGACAACATAATTCATTTATTAAATGTTCGTGGTGCGAAAAAATTTTATGTTTCCAATGTTTTTACATCAATTTTCATCCACAACATTGCGAAGCGATGGAAACCTTTTATCGTATGTAAATAAATATATAATTATAAAAGAAAGTTTATATTGTACAAAATATTCTTGACAAAATAACACATGTACATTGCATGAGAAATATAATCAGTTCATGACTTTAAAACTGTTTTTTATTTCGTATTGCGTTCAAACATCCCGAAATGTCCTTATTTTTACATAGAAAAACAAAATAAATTTAAAAAAATAAATAATGATTAATGTAGTGTCTTTTATATATCCAAAATTGAAAAAAAAAAAAAAGCGAAGCAGTCGTCGGCGGGACTCGAACGCACGCCGCCGGCGCAAAAATGTATGGACGGGAGCCTTAGTCGGCTCAGCTACGCCGCTTACTCGAAAAAGATTCTAATGTTCTTCTTTACATGGGACATAGTTGCGTGACCCTAACTTTGTTTTGTAATTTCTCCTAAACGAAGGCCCATTGGCACAAACGCCTTTAGGGTTTTTATTAGCTACATGTAAGCTATCGAACGCACTATGACTCGTTGGAAAAGCGATTTCCTAATTGGCGTCATCTCCTTGTTAGAATTAAAATCAAAAGATCAAGAATTCCCGGTATCCAAAATTAAATCCGAAAACGATCTAAATAGCAGTGAGCAAGCTGTAGTACAAGCCTTAACAAATGTACTTACCAACGATGAATAAATTTCAATAAAATGCACTTTTATATAAAAATCCTCGATGGAATAACTGTTAATTCACGCATCAACTTTTATTCGTCTGTAACCCGAGTGTAACATTACCCTTCTTTTTTATCATATTCCGTTCCTCTATTTTTTTGTCTAATTAATAACATTTTACATTTTATAATTTCTATCCAATCACTCAAATGTTACGAGAGTGTCAATAATTAATTCATGCCTATTGCTATCAAGTCATAAGAATTTATTCTTCATATATTAAAAACGTCACATAAAATCGTCACTTATATACGAATTCGCAACACGAATAATTCAATTCCTCTCGATGCACGGTTCTCTACCATCCCAGGCTATTGTCGGTGTATGCAGGCAGGCCTAAAACAAAAACGAGAACATAACGTTTTTTGTGTCTGAGCGGTCGCGAAAGACGTTACACCGCGTCCTGCCGGACGCTCGCGCGCCTCGACGCTCGCAGCTGATCGCGAGACGACAACATCGGCTCCCGACAAAAGCAAAAACGCGACCCCGCGCCAACGGCGTAACGTCGCATGTAAATAATTGTACATAGCTTCGAAATTAGAACATAGTTCCACATTAGTATAACCTACACCACTGCTTTTCATTTCACAAACAAAACCCGGACCACACCGACTAAGATCACTATCCCGCACGTAACGCAAGGCCTTTACAAAGTTGTTATTTTAAAATTACGTTGTAATGTAATCAATATATGTATAGGACAAACCACGTTTTTGAAATTCAATAACGTATACATATGCTGCTACCTTACCAAACAAATTTTGTTTAACGATTAAATTTATTAAATAATCCTTAATATAAAACTTGAGCACAAATATCAGGTCTATCATAAGCATACTGACCAGATAAAAATTTTCTTCAATTTCACGCCATTTTAAATTGCAAGTCATCGTAATGAAAAGGTCTGGTTTACCAAATTTATCAACAATTGCCATCGCATCTTGATAATTTTGCAACAAATTACGCGGTGATCAAATAAACGTAGAAGGAAGTATAATCATTTTTCCAATTCGTCCATTTAAATTATTAGCTTTATTTTTGCATATAATCTATTAAGCCTTGACATGCTTTTACGCGTAATTTTTTTTTATAAATCTCACAATATTCTATTCTATATTTCCTATTTTTACATAATTATCTACAAGCCATTGTTGAAATAAACGACGATCTAATAAAAAAGCATTAAATTCATCTCGAATAGCTATACGATATTTAATATAAGGTGTACTATATATTGGGTGTAATAAATAATATAAGGTAGTAAATTATATAAGGTGTAGTAAAAATAAATCCATTATTTTTGCATGAAGTTGAAGGCTTTATTTAGCATAGTTAGAATGATCTGATTTAGATCAAATATGCACCGTTTTGTGCGATAACTTGTTGCCATTTTGAAGGTAATTCCATTATGCCTCTCTCATAGAAACCCTTGTCCCTATTGGCAAAAAACTGGGACAGTCGATTTTCACAAGCTTCCCTTGAGGCGAATTTTTCACCAGCAAAATCATTCGCCATAGACAGGAACAAGTGGTAATCACTTGGTCCCAGGTCCGGACTATAAGGTGAATGCATAAGAACCTCCCAACCAAGCTCCCGGAGCTTCTAGCGAGTCACTATCGATGTGTGCGGCCTGGCGTTGTCCTGATGGAACACAATTCCTCTCCTATTGGCCAAAGCTGGCCGCTTCTGGGCGATTGATTCCTTCAGACGGTCCAATTGTTGACAATATAGGTCCGAATTAAGAGTTTGGGCGTAGGGGAGCAGCTCATAGTGGATGATTCCCTGCCAATCTCACCAAACACACAGCAAAGCCTTTCTGACCGTCAATCCTGGCTTGGCCACCGTTTGCGCAGGCTCACCGCGTTTTGACCACAACCGTTTTCGCTTGACGTTGTCGTAAGTGACTTACTTTTCATCACCAGTCACCATCCTCTGCAGAAATAGGTCGATTTTGTTGCGATTCAGCAGCGATTCGCAGATTGAAATTCGGTCCATGAGGTTTTTTTGCGTTAACTCGTGCGGCACTCATATATCGAGCTTCTTTTTGTATCCAGCCTTATTCAAATGGTTCCAAACGGTTTTTTGTGCAATGTTTAACTCCTGGGCAATCGAAACAGTGCTTACATGACGGTCGGACTCAATGATTTCCATTATTTTATCGACATTTTCGACAATTGGCCTTCCAGAGCATGGTGCATCTTTGACATCAAAATTACCGGAACGAAATCGACGAAACCAAAATTGCGCGTGATTGGCTGTTACAGTATCAGGACCATAAACACTATTCACATTTTCAGCCGCCTGGCTTGCGTTTTCGCCTTTGTCGAAGAAAAACTGTAAAATATGGCGTATTTTCTCTTTGCTGGTGTCCATCTTTGACGCGCGCTCTAATAATACTGAGTCAAACAATCACAAAACTGTCTGAGAAGTTTTTTTTAGTACGAAATCTTATCTTTCTAACGCCATCTAGCATAAACCGATCGCACTTATACAACGCGAAATACACATTACTAAAGTCATCTATTGAAAAATTAATGGATTTTTTTTACTACACTTTATATATTGCCCTCCAGTTATTCGCTTGTTATTGTTTAATTTTGTTAAATAACGATGTCATCCTCGTGTACCATGTGGGTAAAACAATGGATAAATCCATGGTTCTACATTTGGATCCATACTACTAACATGTTGCAAAATTTTAGTATTTTTATTACGTATTGTAACATATGATTCAGGTATTTCCCCATTAGCAATTGTACTAAAGACAGCAGCGACTTCATTTGTTCTTTGAACATTACATCGAGGTCGATCCACCCCAGGTTTTGACATAAATGATAATGGTAATTCAGGTAATGTCTGACCAGATTCCATTTCTAATAGTTGTTGATTTTTTTGTTTTTCACCCATCATTTGATATGACTGTGCAAATATATTATATTCCCCCATTATATTTTCGAGACGTATAATTTCTAAGTCTAAATTGGAATTCTGATTAAGTCGATGATTCATCGCCTCATTTGAATCGATAATAAAAAGTTGACCATAAGATGGACTTTTATTATGCGCAGCATACAATGTTGTATTTATTTGATAATAAATTTGACCTTATATTTTAAAACAATATGGACCGGGTCGTCTTTCTTGGAAATTAGCATTAAAATATGCAAAAGAAAAAGAGTTATTATAACTACAAATATGTGGAAAAAAATCGTTAGATTTTATATTACTATCTTCAAATAAAAATCGAAGAAATTGAGGGAATTCAGGTAATGATTCAAGATAAACTGCACCATGATTGCAACAATCGTGAAACGAATTTCCTGTATTAGAAACCTTTTCAGCTGCAAAATGTTTTGCATTACAATGAATATAAAATACATTCATAGCGCCAATATAATATTCACCAACATTATCACGTGTAGAATTTTCATGCGATATAATTGCAGTATCATTACTATTAGGACCTTAACTTAGTTTCCGCCCAAAAAATACTGAGAAAAAGCATTTATTGTAAAAAATGTATTTAAATTATTTCAATGAAAGTATTTTCCATCACTTTCTACAACTTTTTGCCATCTTTCTGGCAACTGGGCGATACCATCTCGATAAAACGATGTTTGTTTCGAAGCAATCCATTCGTCCACCCATTCTCGCACTTCTTCAACATTTCGGAAGCGTGTACCACTCAAGCCGTGCTGCATCGATCTGAACAAGTGGTAATCAGAAGGCGCTATGTCTGGTGAGTACGCTGGGTGAGGAAGAGTTTCCCATTCGAGCTGCGTCAGTGTTTCTTTGACGGTTTTTCCAGTGTGTGGCCGAGCGTTATCGTGT